AAAAATTAGTTCACAAAGTGGTAAGATTGAATGTCGCATATTACTAATTTTATTTTCTGTTTGAACTTCTCATTGTTGGTGAATTAGAATTACCTTTGTCATTTCATTTTTCCTACACTGGTATCTTTATACAAATTTTCTTTAAAAGGGATATGAAAATGTTTTTCTCTTCAAGCAATTTATATTTATAGTACATCGCAAGATCTGCAAATTTATAAACAAGATTGAGAACGAACGCAGACGAAAGGATGTCCTTTGACTTTATCTTCACATTATAAATATAACCAGTTATTCATATAAAAGCAAAATGTAATTTAATTCAATGCAATAAGAACAGTTTGAATAGTCTTTTCTGTAAATTATTTGAAATTATGCACTTTGAAATGCCACACTAAGTACACTCAACTTGCTTGCTTTTCAATGCAATACTTTCATTATAAATTCATGTCGATTTATAATATTGCATTTTAAATGTTATAAAATTGCATATCATTTTATCGGTATTAAATTTGCAAATATATTATAAAATTTTAATAATTTGAAACTGAAGATCATTTATTTAATCATTAAGTTAATTAATAATACGTACCTACATAGATAAACAAGTATACGTATATGTTATTACCTGCAAGTTATTAAATCTCAATTGAAGTTTTGTATTTTTGAAAGTAATAATTTAATCTACTATTAACTTTTTTAACTATATTAAAGAATAAATATAAAAGTTCTAGGTAAAAACACCTATTTACTTTCACATTTTCAGTCGTCAATCATCTTCATGCTTCCCCAGTCATCTTTGTGATTATACAAAAATTAATTAATGATTACAAACACAATATGTATATGAATATTATTATAAGCTAGTGGTGCATAGCATCGTGCCTTAAGCCAAATTGCTGGAACTTTCCGTATCAAAAATTAATTTTTTTTAAGAGCTTCAAAATACTTTGAAAAATTTTGATTTTTGAGAATTTTCAAACTTAATCAGTTTTTCATTTTGTCAATACAAATTAAATGTTTTTTAAACAATTCAACGCTCATTATCTCAAAAACTGAATTACCACTTTTGACACTTTGTGCACCGTATGTTTGAAAACGACTGGATCTGCCTTTGCCAAAAACGAATTAGCACGTCTTCTTATTAATACAAATTAAATGTTATTTGAATTATTCAAATCGGTTGATCCGTGTTCTCTAAATTGTCGACGAAACTTGTATCCGTACACACACATACATACATTTTTTTATAAAGTATGCCAAAGTGTTCACAAAAACATTTCGAATGTAAAGATTTATAAAAAATATCATTTTCGTTTTTTTGCGACTACTATAACTTACCCTACGGGAAGTTAAAAAATAGTCTAGTGAAATAAAATTGTTATTCCATTAATAATTAATAAGAAAAATCATTATCATAAAATGAATGTATTAAAAAATATTAACTGTTGCTTATTGAAAAACAATACAAAATAATACCAATAATTAAATTAATATAATTTTCTCTGAATTTCCCAAATTCCATTTTCCACTAGGATTTGACTTTTGATTTTTCCACACTTTGAGAATCCTTCCCCGCCGGAAGTTCTACGTAGCAATAACTTTTGCAATTAGACACTTGCGGCGCTGGTCTCGCGTTTTACAGGAAACCGACGAGCTGAGCGGAAGTATTCATAACCTCAAATTTTTACTGCCCGACAGTTAAGTCTAGCGCAGATATGAAAAATTACCAGCGACGTTAGCATGTGAATATGAATTTCCTGATTTTTACGATCGCCGCCGATTCATGCTGCATCACGCTTTTGCAAATTAGGTTTTAAAATGTTATTCAAGTTTCATTACTCGTATAAAGTCATATGCAAAGTAATATTGCGCTTATAAAATTGGTTGTGAAAGAATTTGTTATCTATTATTTTTGTTTGGGGTGAGTTACTAGTTTGCGCTATGGTAGATAGATAATTATTAAGATTTTCATGACGTAAATAGTTTTTGCGTATCAGTCTTCTCTATACTGTATTTACTTTTTAAATGCACAATATTACAAATTAAACAAGTTTGCTAGTTGCTAAATAAACTACCCCTCCAATTGACGGGCTTCTGTAGAGTGAGGTAAAAGTTTGAATTTCGTCAAATTGAGAGATTTATCCATACATCTTAACCCAGTATTTTTCTCGAGTGGGCAACCCAACGGTTAACCGAATTCATTTATCATTTCTAATCACATTGGTCAATATTCAATTAGTAAACGAGCCCACCCATGATGGGTCATCTCAAAATATGATACTATCTCAAATGTCTAAAAAAAAGCGAGCCCACCAATCAAAAATTTGCTTCCGACGTCACTGGTTTCATGTAATACTTTTATTAAAACATAGAGAAGAGTATAAGAAATCCAGAAGTCGAAATACAATTTTATTCTTCAGAATTAATTATAAACTGTAATAACTCATATTACTATTATATTAAATACAGAAAATATATAACATCTATCATATGCCTAATCTATATGCTTATGGTAAATTACCAAGTATTTCTTTAAATTACCTTATAATATTTTAATACAAATCATAACTATATTCTAATTCCATTTATAATTAGTATATTTTCGTAAGGATAGTCAGCATAAAAACTAATAACTCTTCAACGAATTCATATGCACAAATTCTTGCTCTGACAGATAGACCAGTGTGCAATTTGTTAAGCAGTAGCAGTAATTTAAATCATTCACTACTAAGAATATTTTTTAACGTTTAAATGATATCAAAATGTATCACTCTGTTCTCCTTATTTAAATAAATTTGTTATTTCTTAGCGTTCACAAATAATCTAATAATTAAAATAGTCAATTTATCTGTAAAACTCTGTTTATTTTTTTCTGTGCTCTTTTTGCATTACAACACATATTTCTCTATGATTTTTCTTGGGCACACTGGGTAAAATGTGTCAAAAATGATATCAAACAATTGTAATTTATTTTATTTTATTTTATTTTATTTTATATATATATATATATATATATATATATATATATGTTGTTCTGAATACCCATTTTCTTGCCTAGCTATATGAATTTAAATTGCTTATGGTAAATTACCAAGTATTTCTTTAAATTACCTTATAATATTTTAATACAAATCATAACTATATTCTAATTCCATTTATAATTAGAGTATTTTAGTTTATATCTATCTGAAAATGGTTCAAGACATTTAATTTATTTTTGATGAATTGATGTAATATGTATTAATGTACATCATTTCTATTGTCTAATATATATATATATATATATATATATATATATATATATATATATATATATATATAGGGATACAGACTACTGTTCTTAAAATTATTTAACTTACTAAATAAGTAGATTACCTTATTATAAACATGATGAGGAAACATACTGAAGTGTTTGTTTCGGGTAATATATCTTCTTTTCAAAGTAATATCCGAATATATCCAATTATTTAAGTGAAAACAGCCATGATGTCTTTATTGGTAATTATCTGAAAATTAATTGTAATAATTATCTTAAAAGGATGGCATAGCATGGTTACTTATGAGAAAATAAGCATATTAATGGAATTCAAAAACATTCAATTATTTAATAAATTATATCAGTAACTATTTATGTCAGCATCTCAATTTTCACTTATACTCTGAGGAACGCTGAAACCTTCAACTAAAAATTATAACGAGATAAATCTAAATTTATAATAAAAATAGAACTCTTTCATAATCAATTGAAGATCATTAAAAAACCTCAGAATTAAAGTGCCTTAAATCTTACTACGTCTGAATTTTGATGAAACTTCTGTTTGTATTGTGAGTTTAGGTTTGATACTTCGAAAATGTAAAAATGTAAAAATGTAAAAATAAAAATAATCAACTTATAAAGTTCTGCCTCTTTTTTCCTAACTTTTTATATTTTAAATATAAAGCATTTTTTGAGCGTATCACTTAAAGGCCTAGATAGCAAAACTAACAAATAAACTTTTTATTTATGAGTAGTAAAAAAAACTAATTTTACCTGATCGAATGGTTTTTGAAATGTATTATCCTCTTCCAAAAGTGATTCTACATCTTCCATTAGCAAACTGTTTCTTTCCAGGGCACGGTTTATTTTCAAATTTTCTTAGCGGCGCTTGTATGATATTAGCCTCCTTCGGTTTCTCTTCGATGTGATCTATGACCTTAAGATTATAATGTTTATATTTCTTTGCCAAAATAACTTCAATAATTGATAAGAATAAAATAATAAAAATTATTTTCTTGAATTCCATTTTTAATTTTTGTTCTATTGACCAAGTAAGGTTAATAGTTTTTTAGCAATAACACGACGTAATTGCTGCGTAATTCTAACTAATTATTGGGTATTTCAACATCCGTATTTATTATCTCTTGTACATTGAGTGTATCATATCAAAATGGGCGTATTCGTATGTACCCTAAAATATTTTATTATCACTTAGCAAATTATATATATATATATATATGTGTGTGTGTGTGTGTGTGTGTGTTTGTGTGTGTGTTTTATTTATTAAATAAAACAATAATAGATACCAATTAATTGTTATCATTTAGAAAGCTGGTGACATCTAACATTTTATCAGTTATAAACAATATTAAATCGAAGAAGACATCTTTCAGAGTTTATAGATGATTCTTTCGATGCATAGCAATATATTTATTTATTATATATGCAAAAAATATTACGGATTTAAATTAAATTTTTACAAACTACAATTTTATTATTATTGTCATATTTTTGCAGATTTTCACTTGTGATCATTGATTGCAAAAATAACCTCGAGTGAAAATAGCCATTCGAAGGCATTGCTACAACATAACGTTTCATCAAAAATATTTAATTAATTTAATAATTATTATCTTTATATTACTTCACGAAACCAATTTTACTTTATAAATAAAACAATTTCGATATTTGATGACAATTTACGCTATGAAAAAAATATAAAAGATAGAAGTATTTCCATTTCCACAATAGATAGATAATAACGTGTAAAATAAGTAGGTTCAATAAAATATATATTAATAATTAAATAATTCTATGCAAAATGTTAGCAATTATATAATCATATTTAATATAATTTTGAATTATATAATTTTTAATTGAAAGAATTCTTAAGCTTTTACGTAGTTCAGAAAAATAATCATATTAGCTTGTATTTAGAAAATCTTACATAACTAAATCATTTTAATCAATTTAATTCCTCCTTGTTTATCTACGTTAAAAATAGTAAATCAATAGGTTAATAACCGCATCGCGGTCGGTTAAACATTAGTACTTTAAAAATTTACATGGTACTTCAACAACTTTGACAAATAATTATTTGTCAATACAAATAAAATGTTTTTTAAATTATTCAATTCGGACGCTCCGTTATCTCAAAAACTGAATTACCATATTTGGCTCTTCTGCCCCGTATCTTCGAAACGGCTAGGCCTGCCTTTGCCAAAAACTAATCAGCACGTCTCCTTGTTAATACGAATCGAAAGTTTTTTGAATTATTCAAATCGTTTGATTCGCGTTCCCGAAATCATCGACGAAAATTTGTGTCCGCACATGCACACACACACACACATACATCCACTATTCCTATAAGGTATGCCCAAAATATTCAGAAACCACTGAAACGTAAAGATATGTGATAAAATTGCCATATTAAAAATTTCATTTTCGATTTTTTGCGATTACTATAACCTACCCTACGGGAAATTAAAAATAAATATAATATCTTTAGTACTTTGGCCGAATCTTATAAATATCTACAAACACTGTCATGGAAAACTTGAGCATGTAATTATTACTCACTTTGTTGAAACATTTTTTAAATTATCCTCTAAAAATTCGCCTGCAAGAACCATTTGCCCATCTTTTTCCAGGACCGCAACTTGGATTCCTCGGCGGAGCAATTATAATGCTAGCTTCTTTAGCAGTGCTTTTAGATTCAGCAAAGTTTTGTCCACTAATTGCCAAGTAGCACAGTAACACAATAAATATTAAACCAATGCAAACTTTCATTTTTTATTATTGTTTCACCATAAAATAATTCCACTGAAACTTAATAAGTTATTTTCTCTCAAAGTGCTATTGCTATCACATCATGGTTATCTTGGTTTCGGTTCAAGTTCAAAACTGAAATAATGCGCACACGATAAAGTTTATCGTTGTTTTTAGCATACTCAGCTATTTTAAATAAATAATATGAACACGAAAAAATATGACGAACACGTAGTGGATATACGTAAAATTTTGCTTAAACAGCAATAAAATATTCTTATGTTAAATGATGTAGATAAAATATAGCAATAATAAGTTAAGATTTTCAAATTTTATATATATACTTGCAGGGCCGGCTTTAACACTACCAGCGCCCTGGGCGAGATTTCTACGGCGCCCTTCACCTGCAATTCAAACCCATTTGGAAAAAAGAAAAACATCTAATGAAATAACCGTTTATTAAAAAAAATATTATAAAAGATAACCATTAATAGAACCACTAATAGAATTTTACTTTTCTGGCCTTTCTATCAGCAAACTCTTTTACAAGGTTGTCGAAGTCGATGTTTTCAGCAATTTCGTTCTCAATTGACACAGTTGTTAAGTTTGTCAATCTAGATTGCGAAATCGCTGATCGAAGATAGGTTTTTATTAGCTTCAGCTTTGAAAAGCTCCCCACTAGCAACCGTTACAGGTATAGTTAATAAAATTCGCAATGATATCCATACATTTGGATACAGTTCTTGTAAGTTGAAATCTTTGATAAAATTTATAACAAAAATGGGAGTAACCACATTTTTATCAGGTGGGATGCCAGACTTATAAGTTCATCACATAACATACAACCATCTATGTCTGATTTAGAGTCTACAGTTAATTTTAATTGGAGATCACTACAGAGCTTGAGAAGGTCGCGTTTTTCTGGAATCTGTTTAATATTGTACAAAAAGACCAATATTCCGAGTACTCATTTAACTGTTCGAACCATTCATTGATTGAAATTAATGTTGTCCAAAAGACAGTTGAAAAATTCAACCTCAAATTTTTTTTCTGTAGAAGTTATAGGGTCATCGCGTGCAATTTCACCAGCTTGACGCTCAATTTCTAGTTCTTCAGCCAACTCCTTCGCAGTTAAAATAGCGCTTTTAAAGCCCGTATTTCTGTAGTCTTCCAAAAAATTGCCGCATTTTTTAACATTTGTGTACATTTACCAAGACCCATATCTGTTGACTGTGGAGATTTACTTACAACATTTATTTGATGAAGTATGTCATACCAAACAACCAATGAAACTATGAAGCTGAAATCTTTTAGTTATTCGGCTAGAGTAGTAGTTTCATGAGACATTTGAACATCAGTTTCTGAGTTTCAAGAGCCAAAGTAATCAAAGCATCATGGATAGTACTAATTTGATAACGGACTACTGTAACACTACTTATTCTTGCTTCCCAACGAGTGTCACTGTGCTTTTTTATAGTATATAGTCCCAAGTGATCGGTTAGAATTTTCCATCGATGAACAGAAGCTGAGTGGTCTGAAATATCACCCTTCATAGCTAATCGCAAGTGCTCCTGCATGACTAGATGAAATTTGGCTAGTATTTGTACAAAGCCTAAGAACTTTCCGTTATTTGGCGTATATACGAGTAGTTTGTCAGAAGTGCCTCTGAACGCCATATTGTTTTCGGCTAAATAAAGTGTGATATGCATCAATCTAGACAAAACATTATTCCATCGTTTTTTCTATTTTTAATCGTAGTTCAGCTTCAATCCATGAAAAAGTAAAACTTCTTATGAAAAGTGCTATTTTCATGATTTTTTAATATTTCAGACAAGTATTTCCAGTTGTTATATCCTTGAGATACTAAGTTCGACGTTGAGCTACTATCAATAGTCTACAACAAAAACAATAAACTCAATCCTTAAAAACGGAGTAAATTAACCGACGGCGCTGAATTGTTTCATTGTTTGTAAGAATTTTTGTGAAATGAGAATTAGAGAAATATCGGCCTGCATCATTCTTCGGATAATTATCAATGCGAGTTTGCACTAGGCCACTAGTAATTATGTGATCAATGATTTTGCCATTTCGAGTGACTGGCCAAGTGGCCAAGTTCGCTATCCCATGCGAATGAGCTGAGTTTGTTACGCTTCGCTACAATAACGCTAGCTTTTTTTTACCAAAACGTTAAAAGGACAATGTGTTTTGACAATAGACAAAAAAAAACGCTTAATTTAGGGAATTTACGAGACGACTAAGCAGACCTCGAACTATGAGCATCAGCCGGAGGGGCGCCTGCAGCGCCCCTTTTTGCCGGCGCCCAGGGCGGTCGCCCACCTCGCCCTACCCTAAAGCCGGCACTGTATACTTGTAATAAACCTGTTCGATTGAGTTCAAATACCGCGATCAACAGTGAAGTGGCGCGTATCAAAGTTAATAAAATACTATTTGTTTGGATTAAAATTTTGTTTTCTGTGTATAACGTTATAATCTATCCTTGAAATTAATTAAGAAATAATTTCGGAATATTTGAGTGAATCGAATTTGAATAACAAATTTAAAACAATCTGTCACAAAACTGTTTCAATACATAGTTCCGTAATTATCGCGTGTGCTATATTATTATTACTAATATAAAGTAATAAATGCTTTTTATGCAGAAAAATAGCAATAACAAAATTAGAAGACATATAGAGCAATAGTATGTTGGATCTTTATGTAAACTGAACTAGCTAAATGTGTCATTATATCGAATTATTTTACTGTCTTATTAATAACGAGCGAATCACTGATATCAGAAATGCTACTAAATTTAATAAAAGCAAAATTGCATGATTACTTACACATTGCTAATATAATACCCATATTAAACAATTTATTGGAATTGTTATTAAATATTTAAGAATAAAATGAAAATATTGCAGCAGCATAGTTAAATTTAAGATTCATACGATATAACATTTTAATTACAAAATTCATATATAAAAGGCCCAACAGTTTGTTTTTTTAGTTTGAGAGAAATATGGGATCCAAAAGTATATTTTCGTAAGGATAGTCAGCATAAAAACTAATAACTCTTCAACGAATTTATATGCACAAATTCTTGCTCTGACAGATAGACCAGTGTGCAATTTGTTAAGCAGTAGCAGTAATTTAAATCATTCACTACTAAGAATATTTTTTAACGTTTAAATGATATCAAAATGTATCACTCTGTTCTCTTTATTTAAATGAATTTGTTATTTCTTAGCATTCACAAATAATCTAATAATTAAAATAGTCAATTTACCTGTAAAACTCTGTTTATTTTTTTCTGTGCTCTTTTTGCATTACAACACATATTTCTCTATGATTTTTCTTGGGCACACTGGGTAAAATGTGTCAAAAATGATATCAAACAATTGTAGTTTATTTTATTTTATTTTATATATATATATATATATATATATATATAAATATATATATATATATATGTTGTTCTGAATACCCATTTTCTTAACATGTTTTTACTGTAAAATCAACTTTCTTTGGTCAGTTTCTATTTGTGTTGTGCTAAAACTAAAACCAGAATCACATTGGGTATTCATTTATATAAATAGGCAATTATAGGTAGTTTCAGTCATATTTTATGCCTCAAAATTCCATTAAAAATCTCGGAGACCATTATATATTTTATTATTTGATGCCTGATTCAATAGATCTCGAATTTCTAAAAATGAATTAAAAAAATAGTTTTATCTAAAGAATGAAAGTGAAAATTGTTGAATGCTAATATGTAATATAAATGTATGAGAATGAATTTATAATATTCATCTTACGTTGTTTTTGTTCATCAGTAAATTCTTGTTTGGGAAATTCAACATCAAATGTTATATAAAGAGTTCCATGTAAATTATTATCTTCGTAGTTTGGCATTCCTTCACCCTTCTTGCGTATGCGAGCTCCTGGCCATGTTACTTTATCTCGTTGAATTGTTACTTTATGACCATCCAGATGTGTTATGTCCATAGTGAAACCAGTTAAAGCATCCTAATATTATTAATATTTGTAAGTAGCAAATTTCATATAAAAATATATACATTTGCAATCCATGTTATGTAAATTTGATCTAGTTCTCTTTTCATATAAAAATGATTCCAACATTAAAGTTATATTTACAACTTATATTTTTTATGATATGATTTCCATAATTAATAATACCAATTAATTTAATAAAAAAAAATTATATAAAAAACGTGAAGTTAATATCAAGATCTAGTATAAATTAATTAAGCTCAGTATTTTAATATATATTTAAATCAAAATAATATATTTCTTAAAGTTGCAAAAAATTACCTGTAAGCTTAATGTAATATTTGTATATAAATCATCTCCTCGTCTTTCAAATTTGCTATGAGGAGCAGTTTTTATTTTAATTATCAAATCTCCAGGATCTCCATCCAGATGAGGTTCTCCCTCAGCCATAAATCTAGTTTCCTGACCATCAACCATTCCTAATTCAATTTCTACTTCTAATGTTCTCTCCTCATTTACTAATTTTACATTTGGACATTCATCACAAACAGTTTGCTGAATCATTTGAAATCTTCCTGGACCAAGGTTTCTTGTAACCATTTCTTGTCTGCAATTACATTTCCGTGTTCCACTAGCTGGTTTTATTACTGGCTTGTTTCTCGTAATCTAGAATAATAATTAATAGATATTTATATATTTTTTTATATATTAATGAAATATATTAATATATTTCATTTCTCGTTTATATTGAAAGCATATGAAAGAACATTTAATGTGATTTTGTGATACAATTGGCAGTAACTTTTAAATGTAATTTAAAATATATTTGGACATTAATAGAAAATAATAAATAAAAATTAAATATATTAAATAAATCATTTGTTAATGCAAAAAATATTTATAAGCTTGTAGAACGACACATCTCAGAAGGAAATCTCCCAAAGAATAGTGAACGAATTAGCTTTTTTGATTAATGTTCAGAAATTGTGAGCGATATGGGTGAGTATTTACCAACTAAAAATGATGTCTCTACTTACAAGTAGTATAACCAAATATATACATAAAAAGATTGATGTGCAGAAGTTATGAATGATATGGGTAATTATCTACCAACTAGAAATGTTATTGCTACTTACAAGTAGAGTAAACAAACTATGAACACATAAAAACGAATATGAGTAGATAGAAAAAAAGATATAAGTAAGTACTGCAGAATTTAAATGTATGAATTATTCTCTTCATTACTTACTTCAACAAAGTTGCCATTGTAAAGTTCTTCTAATGATACTGTCAAATCCATAACAATATTGGCACCTTTGGGAGTCTCATGTCTCTGGTCACCGGTATCAAAATGAAATCCAAAATCTCCAAAGAAACTCGCAAATGGATCTTGATTATTCATCATGCCATCTTTCTTCAAACATTCTTCACCACATCTATCATACTTTTTTCTTTTGTCTGCATCAGATAATACCTCATAAGCTGCTCCAAGATCTTGAAACTTCGAGGCTGCATCTGGATCGTTTTTATTCTTATCAGGATGCAATTCCTTTGCTTGTTTCCTATAAGCTTTCTTAATTTCATTTAACGTCGCACTACGAGATACTTTTAATATTGAATAGAAATCTCGTCCAGCGCTGGCTAGTAAAAAATAAATACTTAGGTTAACTAACACTAAATAACACAGTTTGTACGAAGGAATCATTGTAAAGCAAAAATTAAATTTTGATCATAAGTAAGTTCTTATAAAACAATGTGTTTATGTTATAATTTTCGTAAATATCATAGTTTTTAGTCTATTATTCAACGTTCGTTAACTAATGATCAAAATGCCGAAAATGACAGCTAGACACATTGCATTTGATGTTGTGTTGAACTCCCATTGGTCGAGCGATTAAAGTAGGGTTTATATCATAGATTAATAGATGCACATACAAATAAAGAAAACACCACTAGTTAATTTATTTTACACATTTTTGTTTTATTGCAATAATCAATCATTACGAGTATGTACTTCTACAAAATCTGATCATATAAATGAAATATATTCACTATAAATATAAGATTATTTACGTGTAAATCAACAACTGTTGAAATACTTGTAAATTAAATTAATTTCACTATAAATGGCTAGAGAGCAAAATAATCGAATATCGGTATAGACCTAATCAGATTATATTTTATTTAAATTATAACACTTTTATTGTTAAAATTAAAGATTCAAAAAAACGTTGGTTCAATTTTCAAACAAAAGAGGCGCTCAAGTTTCTGAAACGCAGGCTTCGACCAAATGTGCACACCTTATAGTTGCACATCTATGATTACTATCTACCCATACTATGGGTGGCGTTGTAAGACTTGATTTTCATTGTTGAAGTTGTTCGTAGAAATGTTAACCTAAAAGACACATTGTTTTTTTTAAATATAAGAAAGATATATTATATGTTCGATGTGAACGCAAATATGTATAATATAAATTAAAATATGTATTAGAAGTTATAAATTGGAATCCACAACACCATGGCACACATAACGTTTTCGATAAAAAGTAAAATGTTGCATTTGTTTGCAGCTGTTATGCTCATTATATTGTTCAATGAGTATCTTATTTACTATTTAATACAATTTAAGGTAAGAATAGGAAATAAGAAAAATGTTTATTTGCAGTTTTTAAACAACTTCTCAATTGATATTTTCTTAACAATACGAAAATTCGAAAACCTTTATCATACATTTTGATTTAATTCTTTTAATATTAAGTGGTGCTAAGGAAAATATGGCAACGGTATCGAATAATAAGGCAAAGTATGAATAAATCAAATACATGTAAAAGCTATTGAATATTTCTTTTATGCTCAGTATTAATTTTGATGCTTTGTAGAGGGTAACATAGACATTGTTTATAATTACATCACATTCATTTAGTTCCATATAAGTAATATTAATGATTGTAATGATTGGAAATTTTACAATCAAAGCTAAGTAAATATTCACAGCTTCATCATATTGAACTTCAAAAAATTATCTGATACTGCTACAAAGGCTTCAAAACATTTTGAGAGGTTGGGTTTTCTGTGTAATTTATAAAAATTATTCATTACTATTATTGGAACACCATTGAATTACATGCCATATTATTTTTTGTACTGATTTATGAATTCGTAATTTATTGACAGGGAAGGAGATAGCGACAATATAAATTTTCATAGAACGTTTTTGTTCTTCCATTACATAGTATGGTGTAAGTGCACAATTTTTAATCATAATTAAACTTTATAACATTTGCACAATATTTTAAATTGTTAAATAATTTTACTTTCTTGAAAGATATGTGTATTCTTTATTGACCTTTTGCTTCTTTACTCATAATTAGCATAACATTTTACAGTGCAATTTTATGTGTTATGTTATGTTAATATTTCACAGTGCAATTGGCCCAACGTCACAGAACAATCACATAACCAATACATTAAAGCTCTTATTTTATCTGATACACATTTGCTTGGCAAACGAAAAGGCCATTGGTTTGATAAATTACGTCGAGAATGGCAAATGCATAGAGCATTTCAAACAGCTATTGCCCTACATAATCCAGAAGTGGTATTTATTTTAGGTAATAAAATATCTTAATGATATTTTTATTTTAATTAAGTATAAAATATTGTTTTAGGTGATATATTTGATGAAGGTCTTTGGGCTAATAAAGAAGAATTTAATGAATATCATAAGCGATTTAATGATTTATTTAAACTACCTAAAAATATAGAAATGTATGTGGTTGCTGGGAATCATGATATAGGCTTTCATTATGAGTAAGTATTATTTATGATAGTTATTTCTAGGTACATGTATATTTAAATAAGATAATTTTTGTTACTTTTTTATTTTTATGTAATTATGGATTAAAATGATCCTAAATATATCTTTAAGAAATAAATAAATCCTATATATAAAATGTAAAATAATTATTTTTGAATGAAGAAAATAAAAAAACAACTTGCTTTATATGGTAATAAAAATAAAAATCTAACACATATAACTGCAAAGTGTTGAAGTAATTGCTATTTATCACCGTACTATAATTTTGCTCTTTTTAGAATATTCAAATCTCGAGCAGAACGGTTTTCGATTACATTAAATGCACCTCCTGTTCGTATTATAACTCTTAAGAATGTACATTTTGTACTAATTAATTCAATGGCTATGGAAGGTGATGGATGTTTCTTATGTCGACAAGCTGAAAATCTGGTTTATAATATATCAGGTATGACTACCTAATAATTATGATAATCATGAAATTGAGCTTACAAATAATAATAATATTATTAACATGATCTTTTATGTTGCAGAGACTTTAAAATGTTGGGAAGGTGTAGTAAGTTGTGATAAGGTTGTTCAAAAGAAACATTATAGTAGGCCGATTTTAATGCAGGTATTAGCATTTGATCTAAGATATATTCTTTTTTTCTACATTACAATCTAAACATATACATAACAATCTAAAAAAGATGAACATTTTGAATGTTTATAAAAGCATTTAAAAAGTTTGAAGGAATATTAGGAATAGATGAAAGCGGAATTATGTATGTAGCACCTTATATAAACAAAGTATGTGTAAGATATTTTATTTTTAGCACTTCCCATTATATAGAAAATCAGATGCCTTGTGCAATGAATGGGACTCACTACCTACAAATGACCATTTCAGAGAGAAGTGGGATTGCCTCTCTAAAGAGTCAACACAATTTTTGAAAAATACTATTAATTTTCGTGAGGCCTGGTCAGGTCACACACACCAAGGATGTATTTATCAACATTGGGAGAATCCTATAGTTTACGAGTATACAGTTGCTTCATTTAGTTGGAGAAATAGAAACGATCCCAGTTATATTTTGGTAATTTGAAAGAATGAAACTGCTTAAAAAGGTATGAAACTTTTATAATAATAATTTTAATTTTAGGCCCTGTTCTCAGTTGATGATACTCTTATATACAAATGTGCCATGCCAACAGAAAATACAGTTATAAATATATATATTTTGTCTAGCTTTGTGATAATTTTGTGCTTGATAACATATTTTTATAGAAGCAGAAAACATTATAAATTAAAATGAAATATCAATTTTTCATATATATATATATATATATATATATATATATATATATATATATCGATGCTTTTCTGACGCAACCTCGTATCTCAGAAACTACTACTTTTCAGGAGAGACAAAAAACGTTTTATAACGAATTTTTGAACTGCTGTTAACAATTTTTTTTATAAATTTTATAAATATTCAATCTTGTGACAATTATTTGAGTCAAGTATGATATTACAAACAATTAATCATTATTTTTTCTTCAATTCTTTGAGATACGTGTTTGTCGCACGGAAAAAAATGTAACATACGTGGTTGCGTCATGCTGTTTCCAAATAAGAGTACATGAATAACTTTTTTCAATTGTTTTATTTTGAGAATCGATCAACTTTTTAAATAGTTCTTAATAAAAAAACAAACAATATTAAACTTGCGTTATATGTTAGTTTATAATTACGACAATATAGTATAGTTTAGATTTTTCAATATCTAGGATATTTAGCTCTTTCATGGAATTATAATTTACTACTTTGTGATTATAATTTTTATTGTTACTTTTATTCTTTTTTGTTATTATTTCTTTATTTAATGATTTTTTATCTGCGGATGACACATTATCTAACTCTAAAAAATACAAAATTTAATTTCATTTATTGTCAGTAAGAATTGATAATTGTTTAATTTTTGTAGCTTACTGTGATATTTGTTCTCAACATAATAAAAATATAACTAGTGGTGCATGGCATTGTGCCCTTAAGCAAATTGGTGAAACTTCCCGTTCCGTAATTAAATAGAATCGAGGAATAATAAATGATTACAAATAGATTATTGTAAATACTGTAACTTTCGTTATTCGTATTTGAATGACAAAATATAAGAATAAACTGGACAACGACGTTTATATTTGTTTACATAAAAAGTAAATGAAAGTAAAAAAAAAACATATCTCATATATATTTCTAAGAATTATATAAACTAATTTGCAAATTTAAATTTATTTATTTGAAGTATATAAGAGAGTTTTAGAATATTAGCTAGCATCAAAATTAAAATTCGAATCATTTTTCATATTTAAACAAAGAAATAATTGTAAATTAAAAAAAAATGGACAAAAAAACTCTGCTTTCCTAAACTAATCGATTCTTTATACTGCAAAATGTTCATTGAATCATTCGAATCGGAAGCTTTGAAACGACTGGGCCTGTCTTTTTCAGAAACTAATCACCACGTCATCAATACAAATTGAATGTTTTTAAATAATTCAAATCGAATACTCTGTTTTCTCAATAGGAAACGATTGCTTTTTGAATGTTTCAAATCGGTTGATACGTGCTCCCGAAAACGTGGACAGAAAATTGTATCCTCACACACACACGCACACAAACACATACATTCATTTTTTTAAGGTATGTCAAGATATTCAGAAACCTCTGAAACGTTAAATATGCAAAAAGTCTCATTTTCAATTTTAGGAAAATTACTATAACTTGCTGTAAGTAAATAATAAATGTATTTATTAACTATCGTTCATTAAGTTTTAATAACAATTAACTTAATTGAATAATAATTTTTATTAGAAAGATAGACCTAAAGAACATTGCTAACAGCGAAACTTGTTTATATACGCCACCATGTATTCTGAGATACGAGGTTGCGCATGGCACATTTTTCTGAATTGAGATACGTGATTGTATTTTTCTCAATAAAAAACGTTCGGTTGATTTTTTTTTTATAAAACTTCACAGATCTATGCGTCTATATTTAGTGATTGATTTTCCGATTAAAACTCAAAATCGTCAAAAATCGAGTTACGAGGTTGCGTCAGAAAAGCATCGATATATATATATATATATATATATATATATATATATATTTGAATAGTCTTGAATTTGATGTTGATATATATGTTTAATTTGAGTTTAATATTCGGGCGTAACATCAATAAAAATAGTATGAGTTTTTTTAAAAAATTTATTTATTTAAAATCCATACGTTTCGGCTAGCATTTTAGCCATCATTCAGTGGTAATCAAGTTAGGATTTTGTATCCTAATATAGCATATGAAACCATTATTAATCCATGGTATGAGTATGTGCACATTGATAAGATATGTATTTTTTAACACAAACATCACAAATGGTAAAACACACTAATAATCATGATAACTTGACAAGTTGTCGAAACTATGTATTTACTCTTCGAAGTTTAGGATAGAAATGTGCACATACTCATACCATGGATTAATAATGGTTTCATATGCTATATTAGGATACAAAACCTTAACTTGATTACCACTGAATGATGGCTAAGATGCTAGCCGAAACGTATGGATTTTAAATAAATAAATTTTTTAAAAAAACTCATACTATTTTTATTGATGTTACGCCCGAATATTAAACTCAAATTAAACATATATATATATATATATATATATATATATATATATATATATATTTAGCATGTCAGGCAGGAATGCCTGGTATAAAATATTATGAAAAACTATTAATATATAAAATATATTATTTATATTTAAAATTTATAGTCTATCTTCCTTTTATCGATGCCGCTCGATATAACACAGTGCTTTCTGTTATTTCATCTGAAAATTTTCATGTTGAGATAGAGTTCATGATTTAAACATACATCTTAAATATGAAAATTTATAACAATTACAATAATTTTATATACCCATCAAATCGAGTATAAACAATATTCAAAAGTGATTTTGTTTTTATATTCTATTACATATTTAAGTATGTGATAAATCAAATTAATATAATTACAGATATCATAGGTTTCTTTGAATTATATCAAGTAGAGATTGATTGATTTTCTTCAATTTCTGTACCGAAAATAAAATGTATAAATAAAAGGCTTTAAATTTCTTTTGAAAAAATCTGGTTTTTGAGAATTTTGAATTTTTTTAAGAATTTGCCTTTTCAAAAAAAAAAACGAATATAGAAAATTTTGACATTTTTTTTAAAGCAATCGGCCTGCGTAGCTGTTTTAGAGACGAAATATCAAAGAGTCATGTTGCTGTTGCTTACAGCTAAACATTGGTACGGAACCCATAGAAATTTGAATAAAATTTGTACTTATTATTAATATCTCTATAAAATATCTGGTGATTTCTTTACTTTTTATTTATTGCATCTGTTAAACCTCTGAACGTGCAATTTAAAAAAAATTATCAGTTTATTTCACAATACAAATATTTTTTTTAAAACATTTAAATAGGACGCTACGTTCTCTCAAAAACTGAACTTTTGCCCCGTATCTTCAAAACTACTGGTTCTATCTTTTTTTGTTTCGATATTCAAATCGGTTGATCCGTGTTCCCGAAATCGGCGATGAAAATTTGTATCCGCATACACGCATTTATTTTTTGTAAGGTCTAAGATATATAAATATTTCTACATTCTATTTTTTTACATTTTATTAAAAAATATGCTTCAAATATTACAGTTTTATTAAATAGTAATGCATTGGAACTTAGTTTAATATATTGTATATCAATCAATCATTTGCTTGCTTTCATGTATTACACAATTCAAATATTACCAATAACTATTCTTTTGTGAGAGCCGTTTTTATCACATAAAAGGCATTATAATGCAATTCACTTATGTGTTTAATCTCTTATATTATGTTATTATATTTAATGAATAAAATTTAATTATTTATATATTAGATTGTAAAAAATTCTTTGAAAACCTTACAAAAAATTATAACGGAACGAGTAGGTGAGCATGTTTACTGAAAAACAAATACAAATAAATTTTATATTAAAATTAAATTTTTCCGGATAAAAGATTTTAAAACTAAGTAAATAAATAAGTAAATTTTTTTTTTTTTTTTATTTCTGTTAATTTTAACAATCAGATTACAATACAATCTATAAGTTAAAAGTTATGGTATTGAAAATCAAAATCAAAAAGAAAAAAAAATAGAATAAAGGAAATTAAAGAAAAGAAATAGAATAAATGAATGAATAAATAATAATTAAAATAATAGTATTAATAATAAAAACGATAATCAATAATAAATAATAATTAAAAATAACTTGTTTGAAAATTTTCCTGTGCGAAACAGGGAAATTATGTTGTTGACGGTAGATCACTGGGCCATTTTCTTTTCAGGCGTTTTAATTTTTCGGCTGTTTGTACTATTTGCATTTCCGGATTGACGTGTGCATCCAATTTGTTTTGAAAGATAAAACTTCTGTTCTTAATAACTTCCGCCACTGTTGGAATTTTTAGGTCTTTATGGATCATGTGGTTGGTCATAAACCACGGAGCCTTACAAATCATTCTCAGAGTTTTGTTTTGTACTCTCTGGATTATTTGAATGTTACTCTTGCTGGCGCAGCCCCATAGCTCTATCCCATAAGTCCATATTGGGATTATTATTGCTTTGTATAAGAGGAGTTTATTTTCTAGAGACAGTTTAGATGATCTTCTCATTAGCCAGTTTATTTCCTTCAGTTTCAAATCTATTTGTTTTTTTTTCTTTAAAATATGCGTTTTCCAATTTAGTTTACTGTCTAAATGTATTCCCAGGTATTTTACGGAATCCTGGTTTGGTATAATTGTCTTGTTCAAATACAAGTCAGGACTTGTGTGACTTCTCAGTGAAATGATGAGGTGTTGAGATTTCTTAGCGTTAGTTTTTATGTTCCATTTATCTAGCCATAGTTCTATTTTCGCCAGGTAATTTTGAAGTAAAAAAGTAGCTGTTGTTACATCTTCATGACTTGAGGTTATAGCAATGTCATCAGCATAGGTGCTTATCGTTAATGTCGGATCGAGTGGCATATCACTGGTGTATAGCAAATATAGTATTGGACTGAGAGCACTGCCTTGCGGAACACCGGAATGAATTGGTTTTGGAGGGGAGAGTTCTTCATTTTCTTTAATTTGAAAGGTTCTATTTGATAAGTAAGATTCCAAAATTGTGAAATATTTTGGAAATGTTTTCTTTAATTTATATAATAATCCCATGTGCCAAACTTTGTCGAAGGCCTGGCTGATGTCTAGAAAAACTGCTACACAAAATTCTTTTTTATTCAGGGCTGTGAGGATTGAGTTGGTTATTCTGTTGCATTGCTGTATTGTTGAGTGATGTCTTCTAAAACCAAATTGATGGTTAGGTATCCAGGATTCTTCGGGATGATCTTCTAGTAGTCTTTGTAAAATTAATCTTTCGAATACTTTTGATAGGGATGGAAGCAGGCTTATAGGTCTATAAGATTTTACGTCAGATGAATCTTTGTTTGGTTTTGGGATCATTATGATTTTTGCATTCTTCCAAACTGATGGCCAGTAGTTAAATTGAAGAATCGAGTTGAAAATGGATGTGATAAATAATAGACATTTTGGTGGAAGTTCTTTTAACATTTTAGGAGAGACTTGATCGTTTCCGGGGGCTGATTTTGATTTGATAACTTTGATTTTATTTTTGATTTCACTTGGTTTAAAAGGTCTTATCATAGACGTTTGGCAATTTACTTGAAGCGCATTCAATATTTCAATTTCAGGTGACAAGTTTTGTTTTTTGAAAACATCAATCAAGTATTCTGCGAATGCTTTACACTTTTCAGCGTCACTTTTAGCCCAAGTTATGTGGTTCTGAGAGCAAACTTTGAGAGGCGATTTCGACATTACAGGTTTATGTTTGTTCTTTATAGGTTTCCAAATAGAGGCATCATATCTATTTAGCTGCGAAACATATGAATTAAAGGAATCATTCTTCCAAATGGCGATGATTTTCTTTAATTTATTGCTAATTTGGTTAAAACTACTTTTGTCCTCCGGCCAATGAGTTTGTTGCCACCTCCGCCTGGCCTTCCTCTTTGCAGCTATTAATCTTTTTATGTCGGATGGTATTACTTGATTATCTTTTCGTGGTGGGATACTTGGTGTTGATTCAACGCATGCGTCAATGATAGTTTTATTCAAAAACAAAACTTGATTATCAATTTCATCAGCGAGTTTCGGGCGTTGAATTAGCTTAATTTTTGAATTTATAATGTTTCTGAAATTGTTCCAGTCAGTAAATTTATTGAATAAACTGCAAGGCCGATAAACAGGAATCGGACTTGAAAAATAGGTTAAAAGAATTGGGGAATGGTCGGAAGATAAATCAAAGTTAGGTTCAATAATGAGTTGCGATGTTGGAATACCTTTTATTATGAAGAAATCAAGCAAATCTGGAATTCTATTAACATCGGTTGGCCAATATGTTGGTTGACTAGTAGTTATATGTGAAGCATTTATTTGATTTATTGATGTTAGTAGTTCTTTTCCTTTGGCAGTGGTTAGTCTTGATCCCCATGATGTGTGTTTGCAGTTAAAATCACCTCCGACAATGAATTTATTGCCTAAACTGCTGAAAAATGAAGTATAATCAGCGGCTAAAATTTTATGTCTTGGCGGACAGTAAATAGATGCTAGTGTTATATCATAAATTTTCGTTTGCATAGAGATTAAAGAAGCTTGTATAGTCTCTGATTGAACAGGGGGCAAGGTGTGGTGTTTAATATTGTTTTTTATAAGAATTGCTGCTCCTCCATGACATTTCCCATCCGGGTGATTTGCAGAATAGGTTATGTAGTTGTGAATGTTGAAATATGATTTATCGTTGAAGTGAGTTTCGGAAATTAGTAGAATATCGACTAGATTGAGTTTTAGAAATATTTCCAATTCGTATTTACGTTGAATGACGCCGTTTGCGTTCCATTGACATATTTTAATTGCTTCTACCATTATTTAATTTGTTTACTAAAATGGTTAGCATATTGAGAATAGTTGAATTTTGTTGGTACATTTGTTGGAACATAATTTTGAACTCGGTTAAGAATTCATTTATTGGAGTGGAAGAATCTGGTGATGAGTTTTGAAAGGAACGATTATTTTTAGTGGCATCGGCGTAAGATACGTTGTTAAGATTTGAACGATTTCCATTTGTAGGAAATGTTTGTTTTATATTTGATTCAGTAGTATGTTGAGTGTAAGTCGGATTTGAGTAAACTGCATTTCGGTTTGTTAATCGAACCTCTTGTTTATACTTCTGAGCGTATAAATTTTGATATACGGGACAACCTTTGTAACTCGAAACATGGTCTTGATCACATAAGGTGCATTTGGCTGGAAGATGAGGCTCTTTTTTACATTTTGCAGTCTCATGAAAATCTGAGCATTTCAAACAGCGGTGGATATGATGGCAATATGCCTTGGTGTGACCATACTTTTGGCAACGGCTGCATTGTACTATTCGTTTGTGAATTCTAGGTGGTTCAATTTTTATAATTGAGTTTTTAAATTTAGTTATGTTAAATACATACTTGTTATTATCAGCTGGTTCTAAGTCAATGTAGAACAAGTTAAGTGGTTCGTTATCATATTTACTTCTAATATTAGTTATGTTTCTTACTACGTGTCCCGATTTGAGCAGTTCTGATTTTATTTCTTCAATGGGTGTTGAATGGTGGATATATCTACTTACTGCTCGAAATGCTCTTTCTTCTTTAAGTTGAAAAGTGTGAAACTCGGCTTTTTTGGTTATTAATAACTTCACTAGATGTCTATATGAGTCAGAATTTGAGCACTGGATTTTAATTGAATTATCAAGCATGCATTTATAGTAATATTGTTTTTCGTTTAACACTTTTTTTATGTCGTTGAACATGTCGTTAATATCAGAAACGTTTGAAACAAAGATCGGCGGAGGTTTGACAATTTTTTCGGGTTCATTCGACGTGTTTTCTAATATACTGAATCTATTCCTTAGTTCTATGGGCGTTCTAGGATCTTGTGTTTTTATTTTTTTCGATTTTGAAGCTATTTGCCAAGGAATATTGTCTTCTTCCATTGTTATTTCGGTCTCCTCTAAATTCAAATTAGTTGACATTGTGTTAGGTTGTATTTTGTTTTTTAATTGGCCTTCATCGAATTCGCAGTTTGAACTTGGCATATTATTATTCTCTTGAAGTGTTTTCATAAATGAAAACTATAATATCACTTAACGTACCCCCATATGGGGATACAATTAAAAAAGTATTTAAATTGTGATCACTTTTGTGGATTAATTTCACTTTCACAGTAAATGAACTATGATTCAAATAAGTAAATAACGAAGATTTTATGATAGATTTTGATGAAATTGGTATATGCTTATATTTATAATTTTTATTCATTTATTTTTTCTAACTTGATTTATTAAAACTACACCTGTCAGAGTAATTAAACACTTTTATAAATAACATTAAGATAAATGCAAAAAAGATAAAAACGACAGTAGAACGTAAGTAATACTTTTATTATTTCCTAATATGAATTTACTCATATTTTTGGCTTATCTACTTAGAAAAAGGAACTTATCACATTTTTCTGATATTGATATTTGATAAATATATTTTTGGCGTTACAATTAGAATTATTTTAGTAGTTCAGAGAACACAACGTGCACCTGGTGTAATAAAATATTGTCAATGTTTTTTTATATTCAGTAAATAAATATATGCATTTAGTTAGTAACAAAAACATATTTATATGAAGTCATAATAAACAAGAAAGCACTACAATAAGCAATCGATCTGAACCAAAAATAGCAATGAAGAGAACAAATACATATAAAATACTTGTAATCTCTTTTTCCATATTCCTGAGTACTGTTATTTTTAACGAGTTTGCTATATATTATTTAGTTCAATTGAAGGTATGGTTAAAATGAGCGACCTTTGTAATGTAAACAGTGAATAAACCTGATTTAACTTTTAGTGTGATTGGCCGAAATTAAGTGAAAATCATCCTTACAAAGATCCGGTCAAAGCTCTTATTATAACAGATACTCATTTACTTGGAAGGAAAACAAGTGTTTGGGCAGACCAAGTTTTGAGAAATTGGCAAATGACTAGAGCATTTCAAACTGCAATTACACTTCACAAACCAGAAATAGTGTTTATTTTAGGTAACATGCAATGTTTAATTATAATATATATATATAATTACAATTTTTTTTATACTCGTTTACATAGTTATCAAAATTACACAATTTTTTTATTCTTATTTTTGAACTGCTATCATGATAATGAGGGGGTATTCTAGTCTTGAAGTTTTGCAAAATCAATTTTTTTATCTTATGTAAAATATACTATATTTTAAAATCTGTAGGAACTATGCTCATCAATTCCAATTTTTACCATTTATAAAAAATTCGAGAATTTAAAAAAAGTTGTAAACAGTTTTACTAATCGTGGAAAAACATTTTTTTCTCTTAATTAACATGTTATTTGGAGGGCTGTAATCAAGTGAATGAAAACATGCCATTTTTTAAAGATTCTTTACTTTATCACCTGGTATTAATTAATAACTTATCAAAAAATGAATAGTAAATAAATTGTTTGCTTGTTGTTGTAAAAATATTGTAAAATAAGTTTTCCGTTCTTACAGAAAATCACATGAAACTCATTCATCCTCATAAAATCATAAATCATAAAATTGTAATTAATACTAAATAAGTTGTCAAGTATTATAAATATATTATTTATCAATCAACGACATCTACTAAATTTAACATTAATAATTGAATATGGAATATGTAATAAAATTTCAGTATGATGTTCGTAAGAGTCTGTCTAATCCCACATTTGAAACAAATATTTAATAAATATTTGCTGACACATTATTCTACAGGTGATTTACTAAATGAAGGGCTATGGTCTAATGAAAAACAATTAAAAGAATACCATGAACAATTTTCAAACATATTTAGTGTTCCAAACTCAACGACAACCTTTGTCATTGCTGGAAATCACGACATAGGATTTCATTATGAGTAAGATATTGCATACACATATTAATTCTATAGAAACAAGAATGATTACCTTTGAAAAGATACTTAAACAAAGATATGTTAAACAACAACTAATTTAATTCTTTTTGTACAAAACTGTATCACGTTATTTACTGCAGTTATAATACATGACTTATGAGCATTAAAATCACATAGGTCAAAAGCTAAATACAAAAATATATCAAGTAGCTAGATTTTATTTATTATACATATATATATATTATATTATTTTTCAGAATTTTCAAATCTCGTGAGCAAACCTTCTCCTCATTATTTGACACGGATTCTGTAAAATTAATTACTATTAAGGATGTTCATTTTGTTCTAATTAATTCGATAGCTATGGAAATGGATAATTGCTACTTATGCAATAAGACTGAAGCATTAATAGAACAAATTTCAGGTATTTTTAATAAAACAAATATTCAAACAAAAATTTGCAATAATTTATATTCAAGAATGCATGAAAAGTTCTACCATCAATTATTGAAAAATTTTAGGGAATAAGTTATTCATAATATTTGAATAAGATTAGAAATATAATTAATAATTTGGGAATAATTAATAGAAAGACTTATTTTCCTACTAACTTTTCTTTAATAGTCTAATAGGCGTCTCAATGTACATGGCATATACACGCGCAAAACAAATCAACGCAAGCTTATTTTGTTACATAGAATGGCTTTCATATTTTTGAAATTAGTCCAGATGTGTTTGAGAAAACATTGACAAAAGGTCAAAAATCGGATCACATAAAATACACAATTTGGTCTCACGATTCAGAATAACTTGAAATGTTAAGAATACATAAAATTAGCAAATTGGATTTTCTTACAAAAACATAAACTTCTGCTTTGGGAAGTTAAGAAGGTAATTAACCCTCCGTCGGTCGAAAATTTATTTATCTACCAACGGTCGGAGTGTTCTGGCATGACCATCATTCATTTTACATGCATTTATATGGGATAAATGAGTTTTTGAACGATTATTGGTAATAAATATTTATAGTTTTCATTTTTTCTTTTTCTTACCGTCTTTTGCATGTGTTGAGCTTACCTCTGATAAAATATTTTTTTAAAAAAATCATGGAATGTAAAGAAATCGTTGTTTTTTTTTTTGTTAATTTTTCTGTTTTATCAATGAAAAACAATATTAATTCTTCTTCGGCGCCTTAGAAATGAATGTGAAATTCAAATGAAAACGAAATGAGGTGCGCTAGATTTATGATTAAAATTTCTTATTTCTTGGCTCAAAATTCCTGGTGGAAAATGCGATTTCACTGAAATTTTGAAATTCTTTTATCTCATACCGAATCCATTTTTTTAATATTAGATTTGCACTGATAATATTTATGAATTTTAGATTTAATGAAATGCTGGAACAAAACCGGCGAGTGCTTTAATGTGAAAAATTATCAACAATATAGTAGACCCGTATTAATACAAGTAAGTTTTGTTTTTGTGTAGTTTAGATACCAAAAAAAAACAACTAATAAATCAAAGTAAGATCAATACCTCTAAATCAAAAAGTTTTTTAATCTTTAGAGATGTTTAAAGATTGGGTAATAGCTAACATTTATATGGGATTGTTAATTTTCTAATGTGTAGGTCCTTCATTTATTTTGATAATCTTTTAATTATTGTAATTCTCATTACTGTAGATAAATTATTTTAAATATTACATTATTGAAAGTATTTACATTATTGTAAATAAATAAAATATTTTTGTTCAAGCATTTTCCGTTGTATAGATTAAATGAGGAATTATGTTTTGAATGGGATTCCGCCACAGGTCCAGATAGAACAACAGTAATGAAGGAAAAATATGATTGTCTATCAAAAAATGCTTCAAACTATTTGTATAATGCCTTATCATTCCGAGAAGCATGGTCTGGTCACACGCATTATGGGTGCATTTATAAACATTCATTCGATTCCGAAGTGCTGGAATATACTGTTGCATCGTTCAATTACAGAAATCGAAATGATCCTAATTACATATTGGTAATAATTTAATATAAATTTATTAATTAATTGTATTATATTAAATTATTCAATAATAATAATCTTTAGGCATACTTTACACCAGAGAGTACATTCATATACAAGTGTGCAATGCCGACTCAAGCAACAATTATATTATTTTATATTTTTATCGTAATATTAGTTTCTTTCTATTGTTATAAATCTTGTAGAATAAAACTTTGTCAAAAAGTTAGAAGACTTTATTTAAAAAAAGCTTTAAAAACTACCAATTGAGATATAATTTTATGTAATTCTTTAATACTTTGATTAAATATTTATATTTAAAAGAAGTTTTATTTACTTATTATATTTGTATGCTTTACTGTATTAAGTATGTTTCTGAGCATTTTGGCATAATTTAGAAAAAATTGATGCGTGCGTATGTATGCATATGCATGCATGTGTTGATACAATTTTTCGACGGCGTTTTCGGCCGACCGCTCAACCAATTTGAATCATTCTTGCTTTTGTGCACTTTATTGAATTAATTAAAATAAAATTATTGTTATTGGTATTTATAAAAAGAAATCGAGTCGCTTTGTGATCTGTGTGGGATACCCGTTGGGATAGCCGGAATCTCACCGGCAAAAACTACGCTTTGACACTTATATTATTATTAACGTTCATGATTTAAGTTGAATGACTGATCAATAAAAATACGAAAATTGTTCATGCCTCATTATGAATATGCACTACATGATCTTTCAAATAATATTCATTAATAATATGTAGTCTTATCAAAGTTTGTGAATTTACAAAGTTTAAATTTAAAGTTTGAATTTCGCGCTCTAAATTATATATTGACGACAAATATTTTGACACATGTTGTTAACTTCAATTGCGTCAGTTGTCAAATAGATTTTCGTAAATTAACATGCTGTCGCGTTAATTAGGAGTTTTTAATTAAATCCTTGATTGGATTTTGTTAATTTGTCCATCAAAACGTGTAATTAATTTAGTAGATCAATTTGATATAATAAATTTATCGTGAAACGTTAATTAAAAGCCGAAAAAATGGATATGTGTGGAGGGGCCTTTGATAAGTATCTCTTTCAGGGTCTCCATTTTGAATCAATTTTATAGTTAAACAATTTATTTACAGCGCCAATGTATCCTTTAATTAAATACGTGCAATTATCAATAGTATAATTTATATATGTGCTTTTGTAAGTTATTAATTCATTTACAGCGCCAATGTATCCTTTAATTATATACATGCAATTATCAACAGTATAATTTATATATGTGCTTTTATAGCTTATATTTGAGTACTTCCAACACATATCTCTTTATATCGAATTCTAAATTCACGAAAGTCTC